CTATTAGGTTGGAGGCCATCGCTAGTAGGTTGGAGGTCATCACTATTGGGTTGGAGGCCATCGCTAGTAGGTTGGAGGTCATCACTATTAGGTTGGAGGCCATCGCTAGTAGGTTGGAGGTCATCACTATTAGGTTGGAGGCCATCGCTAGTAGGTTGGAGGTCATCACTATTAGGTTGGAGGCCGTCGCTAGTAGGCTGGAGGTCATCACTATTGGGTTGGAGGCCATTGCTTCTAGGTATAACCCTTATGTAGGAGGACTTTGGACATTTGCAGGGTGCCGGGGCATCAGGTTCGAAGTCTCCTCCAACGAACACATCTTCCGTCCATTCAATGGGTCGACGCTCCACCCCCACCGTGTGTAGAGGGTACACCGGCCAGTCTGTCCCATGTCTCAGTTGGGCTAGCAGATTGACCCATCAGTTGAAGTGGTAGATGTCTGCATTCTTTCTGGGGCGGCATATATTCCAGTCCCATGCTCATGTTTGGGCCACGTCCACACGCCTGGGATCAAACCCAGCCCCCACTGAGACTGTACAGAAGACTTGGAAATCCCCTCGACACGTGGGTCGCGCGGAGGTCGAGTGACCGAAATGGAGTGAAGCATTGTGCTCGCTTTGGGTGGCCCAATCGAGGAAGCTCCATCAACAAAAACAAGCGAGCTGTTATCAATTGAAAGATCTCCTGCATCGATCCCTGGATCACATCCAGACAGACTGTCTGGCAGACAGTGGCTTTTCAAACAATCATGACCACTGTCTGGCTCGCCTGGCTGAAATCAAGAATCATGATCCTCAAGTCTTCAAGTCAAGAAGAACCAAGCCAAGTCCTGTTCCTAGCAGAAGCTACGAAAGTAGCTCCTGGCAGGTCCGACCCCATGGCGCCGGGGGCCCGCACACAGCGGGCGCGCCCCGCTCGAAGGCCCTGCAGCAGTTCCACCGGCGCCTGGCGGTGTCGACTGGGGAAGGCCAGTCGGCATCACCAGGCGCATGTGCAGCCTGTTTGTAGAAGCAAGTTGGTTGTGAGGTAGAAGCACACTGTCAGTATATACTAGCTATATACCTGATAGTGGAAGAGATGGATGACTGAGAAGGGAAGACGTAGATACCACACATTGCATCTGAGCCATGGCAGGAAAGAGCCATGATCCGTGTCCCAGGCAGTTCTTCATCACCCACATCCACTGGTCACAACAGCTACCATGAGAAACGGGGGATGAGTCCAAACATCTCGTGAAAACCTTGTGAACCAGGATTCCGTGAATACTGTATCTTCTCAAATAGACTTGGGGCCCCTATTTCTTAGCCGTGAAGACGAATCAAAAAGGGCGTCTATCTTGAATTGTGCAAGACCATTATGCCTTTGGGTCTGCCTTTTGACAACGGTGGGTTTGCGGTGAAACCGCACCCCCAAATGCATAGAGAAGTTGCAACAGAACCCCCCAATGAATCGAAAAAAATCAGAGGATCTTCCACCTTCCAAGGACCGCAAGAACAGTCCCGAACTGGCCAACGGAAAGGCACTGCGTCTGGCCCCCACTCCCGGGCCTCGCCTTTTCCTCCCGCCCGTAAAACCACGGGTCATTGAGCCGCAGGTGCTGTGCCAGGGCGTCTCGTTCCACCAGGGCGTGCACCTCATCCGGGTCACGAACCAACAGAATCACCTGCTGGTCTCGGAAGGTGGACCTGACCCAAAGTCGGTGTGGATCCGACGACTTCGGGTCTGCCTGAGACAGGCGCGTTAGCCAAATAGTCTCTAAGGTTCGTTCGCCACCCAACGAAGTATTTGGGATTGGTCCGATTTTCACCCCCACAGAATACTCTGTGGGCCTTGAGGAGGTCGGTCTCATTCTCCACGGGATGTGCCACCAAAAGACCTCGCGGAGCTGCACGCTCCGTGATTGTCCCATGCGCGAAGAGGAAGAATGCGGAGCTTTGGAAATTGGAAGAGATGATTGAGAAAAAAGAACAAACACCCAGACCTGCAAGGGGTGGTTAATGGACCCCCCTTGACCTCTAAGGCGCCATTAATGGACACCCGGAATTCGTGCTTTAACACAGGATCTTCTGAAATGGATATTCTCTTCTTGGTCTTTCCACAGTGGATTCATGACTGTCATTGTGCGGCTAGCTCATGGATTAGTGGGCCCAGTGGGCTCTCTTATTGCTTCACAGTGGTTGGCAACGTTTTCCTTGGCTGAGAACTGTTTCGAGTGGTTGCTACTGACTACCGCTTAGTGGCCGTCTTGGTGGGTCAATCACCAAAAAGACCACGGTTTCTCCGAGAATGGCCCATGTTCTTGCTCCTGCTGGAAGATGTTGGTCTCCTCACGGCCCTTTCGGTGGAAAACCTGGGTCTCCTGCGTCTACGGTGCCCACGGGGTTTTGGGTCGTTCATGCCGTGTTCATGCGGTCCCAGCCGCATCCATGGAGCGCCGGCGGCTGTGCATCCCAATGCTGGAAGCGCTTCAGCGGCTCCCCCGGACGGCGCTCCTCGTCCTGGAGTGGCCCGGCGTGGGACGGACGTTCGTAGCTACGAACGAAGCTACCGTGAGTATAGCGATGCCCTCGTGACTACTAGCGATGCCCTTGTTACTAATAGCTATGTTCCACAGTTGAAAGCAGAAGACGCAGCGCTGCTTGGAGAGATGCCAAGCTGTCGGTGGTGATCCTCGTCCCTGTCGCCTGCCTGCCTTTCGGTCAACAAGTTGAGAATCGTTTTTCATGCAGAAGGCCCTAAGAACTTGAGGTGTCTTCTGAAGCGTGCCCTTTTTTCTTGAGTTCTGCAACCCCAAAAAAGTCACATGTGAAGCTTGCTAGGCAGCCCCTGCTAAAAGGAAGATCGCTATTGTTTCGCCTGTTTGCACTTGTTTTGTCCACTTGTTGCAGGTCCTTTTTTCTCCTGTCGCAGGGTTGGGGGATCATTCCTACCTTGTATGTGTCCAAATAGCGCTTTGATAAAATCCATAGGAACGCCGGTCCCCAACTGCCCAGCCAGTTCACCCACCAAGCGCAGCCAGTTCACGCACCCACAACTGTCATCCAATAAAAACCGGTCGAAATGGATCAACCAAGGATCCGTTTGCATGGACGACCTCAAAGCCAGAAACAGGGAGACCCGGTCGGAGACCACCCCCCAGCCCGAAAAATACACACACAGTCGGGTCCACAACCCTTCGGCCCTTCGTGACGAGCAGTAGCTGAGTAGCCCAAAATCTGTTCTGCAAACCACTTGCTGCACTTGCTCGTTTGCTCCACGGAAGGAGCCTTGGCAGCCTTGGCTACTGTGCTCGTCCCAAAAAAAACAAAGATCCAGAAGGCAAAGAATCGAACCCATCGTGTGCTCTTCCAGCGCTCCAGCAGCTCATCGCGCGCTTGGTGGAAGTTCACCACGAACTCCTGACACTTTCACTTCCGTGGTTAAAGTTTGAGGCTCCAGGTCCCATCGCAGGGTTTTCCGCGAGATCCCCCCACCCGGTAGAAAGGATGTAGAAACGATGGTGTTCTTGGCTTCGGCTTCACGACCTGAACTACCTAACATCACCATCCGGTGACCGTTGGCCGGTCTCTCGACACGTCAGGCGATCCGTCGCGATCCATCGAGATCGGTCGATCGGTCGATCGTCGAGTTCCCATCTCGAAAGAACGTCACTGACCGGGGTTCTCTCTTTAGAGAGGACGGTGACAGTAGCGAAGAAGATTTTGTTGGACTGGAGCAGATCCCTTTTTTTTTCAGATGGGATGAAGGGAACCATTGGCTCCTGAAGTGGCCAAAGGCTGCAAATGACTCCCAAAAATATCCACACTTCCTGTGACTGGATGGTGGGGCAAAGATGGTGAACAAAACTCCTGCGGAGTTAACAGACAACTGGAGCAAACGTTGAACTCCGGTCTACATTGGTTGGTCTGAAGCTACAGAAACAGAACCGCAAAGACAGATTCAGGTCGCCCCAACCAGGCTACGGCAGCGTGCTTCGCTACCAGTGGGTGCACTGGGTTGGAGATTGTGGAGGAAGATCAACGATGGACCAAAGATTGCTGTACATGAGATGGAACATATTCTTATATTTACGAAGGTGTGGTGCCCCAAGGTGGTGAGGATCATCGCCATCAATACCAGACCAATTGCAGCAGGAAGAAGAAAGAAAATGCTGTTTACCATCTACTACTACTACTACTACTACTACTACTACTACTACTACTCCTGCTACTACTACTCCTACTCCTACTGACTACTCCTACTCCTACTGACTACTGACGAGTCACATGGTCCTGCCTCCAACACACGACCTTCGCTTCTTCCCCCGATCCCCGTGGTGAACACCGTTCAGCCCATCCCGTCCGGCCACGGGGCCCGTCGCGGGTCCTGCGCGGCGAAGTGCTCGACGACGTCGCTGGACGTCGCAGCCGGACGCAAAAAGCCATAGCTTTGCACCTGGAGCCATGGCGGTGTTGCACCAGAACTGGTGTGAATGAGTTCATGTGGCGGTGTTGCACGAGAAATGGTGTGAATGAGTGAATGAATGGTTGACTTTGAGGGGGGATCACTTCAAGTAGGACTTGGAGCACTCTCCCAACATTTCGAAGTGTTGGGTGTGTGATCCTTCCAAACATGAAGGCTTGTCGGCGATCGTCCTCCACGGGTTTTTCAAGTGTTCCCCGGTTCTCTCTCATCAACCCCCAGAAGCTGTGACCATGTAGCATAGTGGTGCTCTTGGTCCCACAAGTCCCTCTGCTTCAGAGGCTCAAAGACCCAAAAGTTGCGCTAACACAAGACCCTACACTCTGACTGACTCACATGGAAGTGGAACATGGCTCCTGCAAACATCCTCCTCCTCTACAAACCGGTGGTCTTCGATTTCCATCTTAGTTGGAGGGTAGGAAGTACTGTTGACAACGGAAGAGGTAGTTTTCATTGTTGCAGGTGGTGCTGCAATACATGTTTCTGGAGTCACACTCAACACTGGCCCTGTCTCACCTCGATCTGCAGCTGCCGCTGCAGGCAGAGCGCAAAAATCACGTCCTAGCAATACCAAAGGATGTTGCACTTTTGGTGGAGGAGTCCGGCACCTGGAACTATAAACATGGAGCGACAATTAAAATGGTTTTTCTTGAATATTTGCACCTCCCTGAGGGTCTGGAAACCGTTTTTGCTGGAACAGACTGTGATCGACAGACCGTGGAAGGACTCCGAGCAGCGCAAGCGCATGTTGAGACCTCCCAAGCACCAGCCAGGTCTACAAGACAAGGTCGTCAGCCCCGAAGTCCCCCCAGGTGGACCGCAAGGGATTTTAGGAGAGTGTCCCTTCATGATTGATCAATTGATCGATCGATCTACTGATTGATTGACCAGGCTTGATCTTTCAGGTCCACCTGACAAAGCTGCCACGCCGTTCTCATCTCCTCCATGGCATCGCCCCTGGTCATCTCCAGCATGTCTTCCTCAGGCACAGCTCCACTCGCGGCGCAGCGGCGCGCAGCGGGTCGTGGGTGTCGGACTGGTCTGTCGTGGGGTCGGGCTCCAGGACCCATTCCCATATCTGCCAGCTCTTCAGGTGGAGGTTCACAACAGAGCTCTTAAGCGACCTGGTTGACCTTCTTCGGTTTAAGAACTCCTTCTCACAACGAAATGCACCTTGCGTTTAAGAACTCAAGTTCCACTTAGAGAAGTGCTCTTCCGTGGTTCCACCTGGTCAAACACCTGCTTCCACCTGGTTTAGTTGCTTGTTCCCTTACGTGGTTCCACCGGTCGACCTTGTGACCTTGCATAAGCCTGAAGCGGGAACCGCACGATGGCAGGCCTGATCCGGGGACCCCAAGCCAAACAGGCGGGCGCACAGTTGGCCACCTTCGGCAGAAGCCCCCGGCTCACCACGTAGCCTCGCAGCGGTTCACCGCATCCGAATTGGATCTGGGCTGCCCAGATGCACATAGATGCAATGGTGGCTCCGTCCATAGATGGGACCCAAAAGCAAAATAGAGGTACTTGATATGGGTAGGACTCCCGATCGCCCCTGGCTGGGCAGACTGGTCCTAGTTTTCCCAACTGTCCAAGGGTCGGAATGCCTGAATGTCTCCCTAGTGTCATACAAACCAATATAATATACAGCACTTCCTGTTTGTAGAGGAACATGCCGTCCACTTGCATGATTGTACAACCAAACTGTTGCTGCAGGAAATAAATATGGAATCGTGTGAACATCCTTTTTGGTTGGACCTTGTTTCAGAACTCCCTCAAGAGATTCAGAACCAGGGTTTGAGCCAACATGTTCGAGCGTTTGCTCCACAATCTCCATCCAGGGTGTATGATACAGGATATTTAGAACCAACATTCGATAATGTGAGACTTCTCAAATCCATGAGGTGCACGATTTGGTTGATCAACAGTATGGATTTGTGAGACCAAAAAGCCAATGAGGAAGAAGTTGCTTGCCAAAAAGAATGCAAAGACCAGAAATGATGAAGAAGGTCCCACCATCTCTGCAGGGGCTCTTTGGGGACGCGACGAATCGCTTCAGCGCTCGGCAAAGGAACCCATCCACGACTTGTTTCCTGTTTCGGAAAACGGTTGCCCTACCTTCGGGTTAAAACCAAATCAAAATGTCGAAAGAAAAACAAAGAATGCCGTGCCCTTGGCACTTCTGCCATTGCCTCCAGATATCCAATCCAATATTTTGAGCGCTTCCGTTGCGTTCGGCACCGCTGGTGTCCCTTTGAACGTTTGTTAAGCGGTACTTGTTCCTAGTAGCGAACCTTGTTACTACTAGTAAGGCACCTGTTACTACTAGCGTGGCACTTGTTCCTAGTAGCTTAATTCTTTAAGCTGGAGATAGGATGGGACACGATAAAACTCGGAATCCTACACATCAAATCTGCAGAACCAGGATTGCTACCCCCAAGCAAATGGACTTCAGTAAGTCCCGCGATGGAAATGATGCTGAAGGAAAATGGACACTAACACCAAACACAATCCAGCTAGGTGACCCTTTGCTTCCTTGGGGCAAGGGGTGGTATGGCCCATCACAAGAATGGCTTCATATCTGTTAAAACGGCCCCTGGGCCGATATCACGGCGACGAAGCGACGGATGTCTCTACTCGCCTGAGCCGCCATGTCCGAAGTAGAGCGCAGCCCACCTGGGTCGCGAGTCGGAGGAAAACCGAGTGGCTGAGTGGCAGGGGTCCTGAGTGGCATGGGTTTGGAGTGGCAAGGGTCCTGAGCACATCGCATCTTCTTTACTTTCACACGTCCTAGAGACGGAAATGTCAACCAGGTTCTTGGTGTTGTTGTTGAATTGAGGTACAGTATAGATAGATGTAATGAATTTCCAACCCACACATCAAGTCCAAACTCACAGAAACACTGTCCGTGTTGCTTCCAAAGCCTCAGTCCGCTCAAAGCCTTCGAGAAAAGAGTCGCCGAGCGGCGAATCTCTCCCCGATGATCCCCGATGAACAAAAAGACAACTCCTGCAACCACGAGTTAGTAGTAACAAAGGGCATCGCTACGAACGGCGCGATCGGACGCTATTAGGGGCTCCTGGCCTTACCAGGAGCAAGAAGCTAGTAGTAATGCACTTGTTACTAGTAGCGATGCACTGCAACCAGTAGTCATCGATGCGTAGACATCCAGAACGACCAGAGGGGGAAAACCGCTTCTCAGGTGCCAACCAAGTGCGTCCGCAAACCCACTTTGCTATGTCTCGAAAACGACTACTGTCTCCCCAAAGGTGATCAACAAAGAATATATACGAAGATACTCTTTCCTGAACTAACATTCACACTGCCAGAGTTGGCTTGAAAGATGATCTTCTCCTTTTTCCAGGGGTGGTCTATCCTACCGCAGATAGGTCCAACTGTTGGTCTTTGTGGAGATTCCACCAATCATATCAAATTCACACCAACAACCTCTTCGGAAAAAAAAGGAACTCGAGCCAGCGGACATCTCGCGCAGGTGTCGCGGTGGCACGATCGCGTGCACCACACCTGGGCCGAGGGGGTGGGCGCCGATGGGGCGCCGTAGCCGTTGGAGGCGTCGAGTGGTGACGCAAGGGCATCGCTACGTTCGTAGCTTCTTGCTACTAGTAGCGATAGCCTCCACCCTAGTATCGATGGCCTCCACCCTAGTAGCGATGGCCTCCAACCTACTATTGACACCGAAGACCGAACCGAGATGCATGGAATGACCTCATTCTGCCGCAGAATTCGGCATTTCGAGAAGCAACATATTCCAATGACTCACGACCCTCCCTGCATCGTCCAAACCAGCCGGTCGACCCAAGAAGTGCTCCTCGCGCCCGTCGAAGCAGCTCAGCCGATCCGCCACCGCGCGCCTCATCCGGGAAAGCCGCAGGCCAAGGTGCGAACGGACGCCTTCACTCACGGAGTCCCCTTACGGAAGCCTTCACTTGGGAGTCGAAGTCAGTCTGAACAATGTGCCTAAGCTGATCTCTTCTTAGGTCTCCGGGGACCCTCTGACCACTGCTTGGGCCTTTGATTCTTATCCGGCCCAAGGGGCAAGTTCACGTAGGTGTCGGAATCTGCCTGCGCGGAGACGCAATCCCTTTTTGGCGCGGCGAAAAAAGAAAAGAACAGCCGGTGCTGTGCAGGTTCTCGCCTTCAAGCGTTGAAAAGAAAAGGTTTGGACTCCGACCGTGAGTTTGGAGGTGGGCACTGCCTCAAAATGAGCAAGTCGATCCAGAAAAGGGATCCGTTTAAGGGCCCCATTTCCTTAACAAAAAAATCCAATGATTGAAGCAGGAGTCGGCACACTGAATGAATTCACTGTCTTTGGAGAACTCTTCCATGAAGCGATGACAGTAGGTGGCCAGAAGTGGGTGGTGCTCCCCTCCAAAAGTCTATGGCCAAATCATGGAAAAGTCCGACTTCAGGTGACTTTGTCCTGAAACATCAGTGACCCCGCACCTTGGATTCTTCCGTATACCCGGCTGAGCTGCAAGCCCGGGCCTTCA